GACTTGTGGGCCAAATTATTGATAAGATAAGGTTTCTTGTCCTAATCTTCCTTTTTTCAGAAAAAAAGACATCTGTGATGGAAGTGTTACTTAAGATGGGGATCTGACTTGAAAAGTGTTTGGCCAGGCATCTGGTTTGTATTGGTATAGGTTGAGCTATGCAGGTCTCGACAGTATGGAGAGGAAGTTAGTGAACACTTGTTGAGGCAAATTATAAAGGTCCGGGACTGGGAGAAAAAACATAGACCAAGAGTGGAAGGAGGAGCTAGCAAGTTTTAAAATATTAGTGTAAACTGTAGTATAACTTCGTGTCATATTAAAATATGACCTTGAACTTGGTTCCTCCCATCCCCATTCCTTAAAAGAGTGTTCAAGCAGAGCAGTCTTTCGGATTGTTTAGCTGTTGATAAGAATTAGTTAGAAAGGAAGTGTTATGGCAAGTCATTTCCTTTTTTCTGTCTCTAAGGTTTCTGCTTTTTTGCTCATAGAATTTTCTAATTCTTTTTCACACATGTGGACTAACAAAGTTCACTGTGTTCCTCATTTTTATAATGTAATATAAAAATTGTGCATTATTTCAATATATTGTGTTTACTTTCTGCCATATCACTTTCGTACCTAATTCAAGAGTGCATTTCTCTACTTCCATGTTCACCAGATCATAACCACACGAAGAGATTATTCACCACTGAGGAATGAAAGGCCATCTGTTAGTTATTATCTTTGCTGCGCTGCAGCCCTTCAAAATGAGTGCTTGGGAGAGACTTTAATGCTGTACCTAGTCTTTGCTCTCTTCTAGGCAAATGCACATACCTAGGAAACGCTACCTTCTTTTGTCTGGAGGGGGGAAAAAAATCTTCGTTCTTCCTGTAATTTACCAGAAGTTTGATTGTGGATTTTTAGGAGTAGGCCCAAAATAGATAGCATGATTTATTGCATCTGAATTACGCCAAATAAATACCTCGGTATTTCCACTCGGTTCTAGGAAGAAAAATCATCTTTGTTTAAAATACATGCAAGGGTTTTAGTTGATCTTGCTTACAGGAAAACTCTGAACATCATTATACAAATACGCATTTTAGTAATAGTTACAATTATTTGGATGATTGAAACTTGTTTATTCTTTTTTCAGTGTCTAGAAGACTGAACTAAAGAAGTTAGATGGTTACAATTTATCTTTAATTTCAGATTGTAGTTTTTTCTTTTTTATTAAAATTAAAGTTCCTGTAGATGACATTCAGGAAAACCTGATCAGGAGGGAATTTCCTGCTGTCTGAATTCATGGAGACAAGTTACGCCTGTGATGATAGCCACAGGCTCCATTTGAGGGGAGTT